AAATCTTAAAAACATAGAACCGTTGCAATGCAATTCAAAATCTCAACACCAATCCCTGGCAACGGCGCCATTTTGTTGAAGCGGTAAAGCAGCAAGCAAAAAATATTAAGTACCCAGTTTTGTCGTCTCCACAGGGATTAGTGTGATATGAACACCGTTTAACGGCCTCTATGTTTCTAAGCTTGATTTTCAAAATTTTTGGTTTAAAAGGTTCAAGGAACCATAAATAAAAATATAAAATATAAAATAAAGACTGAAATATAAATGGAGCCTTGTTGGGATTGAATTTCATCAATTGATAACACGTGCATTCTTCTGATCAAATTAAACACAACGCAATCATTCGTCTAATATCCTTACGTATCACTCACGATAAAGCTTATCTCTAACGTGGCGTCGAGAGAAAAACCATGTTGTCTCATTGGTGATCTCTCACCCAACAAAAACATAACACAGAGCATTAAGATCTGATACTCACGCAAATGCTAAGCCTAAATCTATCTCTAGCGTTTAGGACCTAACCGGTAATCATCCTAGATCCAAATCCAAAAAGTATATCTCTATCACGATTCAAATTAAAGATTAACAGGTAAACAAGAATGAAACCCATATCAGATAAACAATTGTTTTGCATAAAACACAATGATCAAAATACGTACACACGCTTACCCCTTTTTACATGTATTCATCTAATCCTCCAAATGGTTGTGAACATCATTCTTCATCACTATTATCACATACCCACACAATCTCATGTTGATCCTACCCATGCTACTTAATCAACACAACACCATAGAAGATAAAATGAATATCAACTTCAAAACCATGTCAAAAGTTTGTTCTCATTGATAGAAGAAAATCTGAGATCAAAAAAGTGAAAAGGTTTTACCAGGACCCACAAATACATAATCAAATATAATCAATCAATAGAGAATCAAAACTACTTCACAAACATAAATTAGATGAAATACATAAGGTATCAAAAGATTACAATCCAAACCCCAACAAGAGATCGAAGATCTTACCTCCTCCCTCTTAGGGTTTTATGTTTCTCTCTCTAGAAGAAATGAAGAAAAATAAGTTCTGATGTCTAGAATGGAAAAAATACAAGTTATGACCTGAAAAAGCAAGAAAATCACTTAAATACACATTCAGGATCTGTCTTGTTCGCTTAGCGAGCAGCTAGCGAACAACTAACTTTTGGTACTTTCAGATCTGTCCAGTTTTGGGCTCGTTCGCTACCTGCTCGCCTAGCGAGCAAGCTAGCGAACGCTCGCTGGCACGCTCGCTACCAGCTCGCCTAGCGAGCATGACAACATTTTGGTAGTTTTGCATGTTGTCTTGGTTTCCTTGCCCATTTCTTGTGTCTGAATTTTCACATGTTTTGTGCCTAATTCCTGCACAATAACACATAAATCAAAGGTACCAAGAGTTTTTCTCATAATATTGCAAACCAACCAAAACAAGAGTGGTTTTCAACACTTAATTGACGAAAATGAGTGAAAAATGTCAATATTTGATAGATCAAATAAGTGAAATTTGGCATCTAACATATCACCGATCCACCATCTTGATCGCATAGCTCCTCGAACAATTCTTTATTTGGAGTCATGTGCCAAGTGCAACTTGAATCCATAATCCACTCTTTTCTTGAGTCACCACTTGAAACCACAAGAACATTAGATGAGTCTAAGTCATCTTGAACAATGGTTGCGTTGCCATTATCTTTACTTCCATGATCTTTTAGGCATTCAGGGCACAACTTTCTTGTGTGACCCTCCTTTTTACAGTGATAACATTGAATATCAGATATTTCGCCACTATAAGGTTATTGCTGACTTTTACCTTTCTTCTTGTCGAACTTACCATCCTTTCGCAAGAATTTTTCCTTAACGGCAAACCTTCGCCCATCGTCGAAGGTTTATGCTCGTTTCGTTCGTTCAAGTCCTTAGAAAACAAGGCTGATTAAACTTCTTCAAAGCTCACGGACCCCCTTCCATACAAGAGAGTTTCTTTGAAGTGAGCATGTGCTCTGGGCAAAGCACACAACAACAACAGTGCTTGATTTTCATCATCGATTTTCACATCAATATTTTCAAGATCAAGAATCAGCTTGCTGAACATATCCAACTGCTTAACCAACACTTTGTCTTCACTCATCTTGAATAAATACAAAGCTTGCTTCAGGTAGAGTCGATTCACCAAAGATTTGGTCATGTACGAACTTTCAAGTTATACCCATAACCCCGATGTTGTAGTCTCCTTTGATACCTATCGAAGAACCTTATCACCAAGACTCAACAATATTGCGTTGTGGGCTTTCTCAATCATGACCGTATTTTCTTTTGTCGTTAACGCAACGTTCATGGCTACCTCTCCCTTTAACGTTTCTAAACAACTATGTTGAACTAGTAGGGCCTTCATCTTCAAGCGCCACAAACGGAAATCGTTCACTCCGATGAACATTTCAATCTCATACTTTTTGAAGGCATCTTTTCCATGCTCATCGCACCAATTTGTTGTGAATAGGATGTCCTGAAACAAAATATGAACAGTTTCTTTATGATCAAGAAATACACAAGGGTTAGGGTTAACAAAGAAAACAAGGTAAAAACAACAAGGATTAGTTACAAACTGCTATTCTTTCCTTTCTCTTTGAACAAGATTACAAGTATACAAGAATAACAAACAACCTCTCTCACTTGAATTAGGATTTCATCTTCCTATTTTTTCTTATGTAAGATGAAAGACTAGCATGTTATTTATAAGAAAACTAACACACTAACCTAATGAGCTTTTTAACAATTACCTATTATAAGCTAACTTAGGGTACAAGCTAACTTAAACAATTGGACTTACAAGCAAGACCCAATTCAACATGCTAACAAACTTAGCAATATTGACTAATACATGTTAAAACAAGCTTCGACTACAACACGCATTACTCCACCAACATACTAGAGTTCGATCCAATATCTCACAATTTTAATGATTCCCTTTAATGACACAACTTTTCTTCAATTTGAATCATAACAATATGCATGTAAAAGTGGCATCATTGAATGCAACAACGTTCTAATATTAATGCAGACTTTATTTCCTACTTCATATATATATATATATATATATATATATATATATATATATATATATATATATATATATATATATATATATATATATATATATATATATATATATATATATATATATATATATATATATATATATATATATATATATATATATATATATATATATATATATATATATATATAATAAAATTTAATATAAAAACATATAATAGGATAACAAAATAAAAAATAAGCGAACTTTAATAAACATAAAAATAAAAAATGTTTAAAAAAATGAAATGATTATAATAACAAAAGGACAAAAATAATTTAAAAGTGAAGAACAATTATAATAATTTGATGTAAAAAAAATAAATTAAAAACCTCGTAAAAGAGAAGAAATAAATGAAAGAAAATAAGTAATATAATAAAATAAAATGGAGGATATTATAGTAAATGTAATATTTTTATAAATATCAAAGTTCAGATTCATTCTCCTCATCTCCAAATCTCCGGTTTAGGATGCAAAAAATGTGTTTTAAAATCTCCGGTTTAAAGAGGATTTACTATTCTCTCCTCCTGAATAAATTTTGAACCAAAAATATTCTCTTCAGGAACGAAGCCAGAAAAATTTGAATGTGAAGGACAAAACACACATATATAGTATAACATATATTATTTGTTAAAATGTAAAGTGTGGTGTTTAATATTTTCAAAAGAAAAATTATATCATAACATATATTCTATAAAATTAATTATAAATAAATATTCATAACCTATTAACATATAAATAAATATACTATATTAAGTATATATTAAAGCAACACAAGAAGGATCACGAATACAATTGTATTGTCTAAAAAATCCTTTAAATGTCATATATCAATAGATTATAGTGAGGTGAGAAAAAAATACTAGAACAAAACACTCGTAGTTTTGATATTTTTAGAAAGAATAATGAATAGAGAGGAGAACAATTAATATGTATTTATGAATTATTCTTAATATATATTTATAAATTATTAAAATATTAATGAAGGCAGTTGACCCCATAATTATATGGGTAATGTTAACTTGTGCCCTTGGGGAACATGTTAAGAAAACCACTTATAGTAAATTTGCATTGGAAAAAATGATTTAAAAATTAATTTTATATTTTAATTAAAATTTATACACAATTTTCAAAACAATGTTCCTTAATTTAGTTCTTAACATGTGCCCCAAGGGCACAAGTTAACATTACCCTAATTATATAAATAGTTCTGATCTTAATTCTCTCTCCTCTCCTTCCATCCCATTCCATTCCATCTCATCCCTTTATTCCGAACCAAACAAACACTCTATGAATGAATTTTTTTTAAAAGTACAATAAAATATATACGTAATACACAAGAGTGTCATACTTAATTCAGATGTTCCACATTTAATCCTTATTAATAAAGTATAAATGTGACACTTTTGAACCAGGTTTTGAAAGGGAGAGCGTATGATGAAAACTATAAACACTAAATTGAAAAGGGAAAATGAACTCATGTTTCTTCGATGCAAAACAACATGATTGAACTAAAGAAGAGTTAGATCCATCATTATTAATCTATTATCCTGTTGTGCCAAGACTCCTTTTCACTGGGATAAAACCGTTACATACAAAATTAACCTATGAAGTATGCAAGTTTCTTGTCATAACAGATTACAATGAAGAATGTCATCAGTTGTGCTCTACTGAATCAAGTTGCGTATATCAATCCTTCAATTTATCCTAATAAATGTTACAAATATTGCCGGTAAATTGGATAATACTTGACTGTTCGGAACTATTTCTGGAGAAGCTCAACAAAATCACCAGGACAATTTACATTTCACAATCTCATATATCGTAGAACTAGACTGAAGACTAACATGATTACATAGAGGACAAGGAGCTATTTAACTAGAAGACTTGTAGCAACCAAAGCATCCACATATAGACAACTGTTTATTTACTGAGGCTACTGGCTTGGACTCAGCCTTAGCATCAGGTTCTTCGCGCAGATAATGTTTATAGAAGGCGTTCACTGCTCCCACCACCCCATCTTCGTTTTTCATGGAATTGGCAAGTTCAACAGCCCGCTTTTTCACCTGCATAAAAGCATATAACAACATATCAAAAGACATTAGGAAGAGCACAGCACTGATTGGCATACTTAATAGGTAGTATATCTATAATGTGATCACTTATATTTGTTAAGATTACATCCATTTATTCAATATTCTTTTGTAAAAGATGGAAATTGTATAATGGTTGTTTATTTGATTGTCTCCAAAATCTTTATGTTTCAGCGGATAAATATGCCAGATAAGCATAAGCTATTTTCTATTGCTGCTTAGGTAAAGAATCTTAATCAAGGAAATTCATTGTACGTCCTAATGCTACATTTACAACACTAACACGTGATCACAATTGAACATTACCTCTGGATTCAGCATAAAGCGTATGGCATCAACCAGCCTTTCCAATGTAAACTCCTTTACCGGGATGGGTGCGGGACCTACTCCTCTGGCGTGCACCCGCTCTCCCCAAAATGGCTGGTCCCCAAAGAATGGTACAATAGTGGTTGGGCACTACAATGAAAAGATAATAGAGATAACTCGTTAGAGTTACATATATAGTATAAACTATTTATAATATTTCAGACTGCACTAATTACTTCAGCTCTAAGACCGGCAGCAGTTGTTCCAGCTCCCCCGTGATGTACCTGAAGCATTCGCAACTATCAACTGAGATTCATTCATGATTCAAATTTACTATACTTCCCACCAAGAAAAAATTAGTACGTACCACAGCAGTGCATCGTGGAAATAGCCAATCATGCGGACAGTTGTCCAGTAAGTACACAGATTTGGATTTGTTTAGTTCTGCCACTAAGAAAGAGAAATCACTACATGCTTCACAATCAGAGCAGCAAAATAATGTAATACTGATGGCATGCTCTTAGTAGAAATCAAGACTCACAATTCCCAAGACCACCCCACCCTTTGTTGATGATACCTCTCTGCCCTGTTTGTTTCAGAGCTTGAACTATAATTCTTGTCATTTTTTCGGGTTCCTGTAGAGGCTGTTTTAAAATTCAAAACAAAATTTAGAAAAAAAGTTAGTAAGGAATTTAATAATAGCATAGGTGTATTTTGATAAACAAGATCATTAAGCTCAGAATTAGTGTCTTATATAAATTTAGGTTTGTAGCCCCTGGTTCATATTGCTGGTCTGGTGAATGCCTATTGAATTGATCTTTTCCAGAACTAGAAAAGTTCTTTTTGTTTCTAGAGTGACCATTTACAATCGTTGTTTCTAAATGTAAATGCATTTCTATACTGATGCAAAATTCATTCAAGATGGGTCTCTCTTATATTCAGTGGGTTTTGGAAAAACTCATCTTTATGTTACGGACACTTCCTCAAACATTTGAGAAAAACTAATCTTTCAACTTTCCATTTTCAGACAATTCTCCAACACAACATACCATTTGAATCTGATATATATATATATATATATATATATATATATATATATATATATATATATATATATATATATATATATATATATATATATATATATATATATATATATATATATATATATATATATATATATATATATATATATATATATATATATATATATATATATATATATATATATACACTATTGATTAATGATTATGGCAAATTATACATGGAGAAGTTATACTTAAACAGTGGATACGTAGATTCATCAGTGTGATCAGGTGACCTAAACATGTAGTTATAGAAACTCACGAGGCTACCAAATCCAATATAGATAGGGCTGTCTCCTTCTTCAAGCCAATCTACTAGCGGTTTTGGTGGTTCATAATTTGAAGCAAGGTCAAGGAAACAAAATCCAACAATGTCAATGTTAGGTCCCCAATCTGCAGATTGAGAAGTAAAACAGAATCAGACTATCTCAACATCGTTCATAGAGCAGCTCGAGTGGGTGACCAGGCCAGAGAAAGTGAGTTCATAAAGTTGAAAGAAATAAATACTATGATGTCACAGTAGGTAGTATAAACCCTATATTAGAATAACAACTCAGAACTACAATGGCACATCAAGAGGGAAACAGTGCAGACTATAATGATATGATATTTACACTAATCATACACATCAAACAAACCTTTTGGTTTAGGGACCAAGTTGGGGCTCCAAATATAACCATAAGGCATATCAGGAGGCGAAGTGTAAGACCCACGTAGATAAGTAACAGCTCTTAGCTTCAGCTTCTTCTTCCTAAACTCGTTTATCAAATCTCGTATTCCAAGCCAGATTAAAGCATCAACTATTTGATATGACAGCTGAAAGGCTCGAAACACAACAATAGAAAATATAACTTAGGCATGCCATAAGGTAACTAATAAGTTAGTTAATTTCAGAATAACCAAACAAACATTAGACTCACTCTGTATCCAATTGGCTGCCTAACACGGGAAAGAGGGTGAGGGAATTCGTTAGTAGGCCTGAAATATAGTCAAATATCATTTTAATAAAAAGTAGATGAAAATACCAACAAATGAGCAAAAATGAGAACTACATTAAGTTTAAGTGAATGAATGATTCGCAAAAAATGAAAGAACTCTTGCCAGAAGTTCTTAGAGCTTGGTTTTAGCCTAACTCAATCCCATAAAACCGGTTTATAAGATGAGAGGTCTCTCTTGCTTATAAATACATTTCCAGGTTAAATCATATCCAAGGTGAAACTCTTAATAGAGTCTCTCACGCTCAAGACTTGACATTTGAAGTGTGACCAAGAAAACCCAACATGTCTAGGACAAGCTTTGTTAACATTTTAGGTTTTAGGTTGAACCCAACTCAACTCTACAAGACCACCACAGCTTATAAGGTGAGTGAGGCCTCCATCTTTTAAATATGTTTTCATCCCATATCATTCTCAATGTGAGTCTCTCAACAAAAATGCCACCCAACAAAAAAAATATAGATGATTGAATGCAGGATTAGCCCATGTCAGCAAAAAGACTTACGTCCACGGCATTGTGAAGAATATGTGCAACGGAACTTTTAGATACTCAGCAACATGAGTATGCCCTGCATAAGTTCAAAACATTAAAAGAACAATATTTTTAGTCGTATTATTATACATAATAGCTGTAAAAAAACCTCTGATTATCAGTTAGTCTTGCAGTCATTTCTATCTTCAATGAACTTCCTTTCAAACTTCAACAAAACAAGTTCCCATACAAACTTTACTGAAAAGAAAAGGTATTTTGGAAAATGCAATTGTTTTATTGATTACATAGGAAACATTAAATTAAGTTAGTCACTATTCTTAAGATGCATGTTATTTATTTTTTCTTATAATTGAGACCGGTGAGAGTATAAACAGAAGCATAAAATACAAGGAGTAAGAACAAGAAGCTGTATTGATTATCACAAAAACACCTCTTCCATAGAAGGGTAGTGAAAATACAACCTCAAAACCCTAAATAGAGTGACTTCTCACTCGTCTAATTGTAAGACTAGGAAAGTAAAATACACCTCAGCACCTTCCTTAAAAAAAAATATTACCAAAGACTTAAACCTGTCACAAATCCGGACTAAATATTAGGCTATATACCCGTAATATTACCAAAGACTTAAACCTGTCACAAATCCTGACTAAATATTAGGTTATATACCCGTAATATTAACCCTTTTCCTTATCGTAATGAAATGATGCGGCCTTAAAACCATAGTTCTTTTAGCTGTTTGCCATCAAATTTCCCTATAATATAACCTGAAATTTGCATGCCTTGGACCGGGCCTACTCTTTTGAAGTTAATTTTTCCAAACCCAATTAACATAGAACTCAAGGAATCTTGCTCTTTAAGAGCTCACATGAGCCTGATTTAGGAAACTAAACCCTCGCACTGTAGATGGTTTTTCTTGTAAGGCCTCCATCAGTACCATAAGAAGTCAAACTACATAGGAAAAAGAAGAAGAAAATTCCAACCATGTTTTTTATTTTTATTCCTTTGGGTTTAACAATATTACAATACCAAATATAGTTTAAATTTTAGATTGAGATATTTTAAAGTTCATGGTGTACTACTGCTTATAGAATGCTTAATTGATAATGGCTGATGGTACAAGACTAATAAATCCATATTCTTAAATTTTAAGAGACTTCAAGTTTGTTGTTGAAAAGAATTTTGGTTACTATACAGTATCTTATTATTTGATAAAAAGTTTGATTACATTCTAAGTAATGCAAAAAAGACTGAATTAGTCAATGTTACATTATTGTGAGGCAAAGCCTAATAATATTGAAATAATAACTGAATTTAAGTAAATCTTACCATATGCTGGAGGGTTTGCAATTATAGCATCTGCTTTAAATGGTTCATTTGAGTCTGGGTACTGGCTGTTGCATGCAGGAAGCAAAGAGTGAATAATAGACTTGATTTGACTTCTTTGTAATTGTATTTCTGAAGGTCCTGATGGCAAGAAGCCTTTATTCTTGACCATATCTGAAAAACATTATGTATGAAAATAATTATATAAATCATTTGAAAGAATGTGAGTAAGCAATTATAATGGAAAACATTATTATATTAATACACATCCCGTCTCTTAAAAAATTGGTATATATGACAAACTATGTCTTTTAAACTGGCAACCAAATGCAGCCGCAATGAAGGTGGCTAGGATTTCCATCGCTATATTCATCTATATTATGTTTGACTTGAATCATAAGAAAGAGAACTACATGAGAAATCCTTCAATTTGTAATTGTAGTTCAGTTGCCGTGTCAAGCTACTAATAGAAAATAGTTCGAAGAGAAAATAAAACAAGCTGAACTTAGCAAGATTGAGAAGTGGATGGTATAAGAAATACTTACACCCTGCAAGAACTTTGGGATCTCCTCCTAAAGGGTAAAACTCCAAGCCTGCTTTCAAGACAAAATCTTCAAAATTTTTATGAGTAGCAAGCCTAACCCTGTGGCCGTCTGCCTGCAAACAAACTTTGCCCTCAATTAGGTTGAATTTCAAGGAGAAAATGAATATTTGAAAAGTAAAAACTTATGATTTAGAAAGTATCATTAATTTGTAAAGTACTACATAGTATATACCAGGTAAAAAATGGAATTTAATATCCATCATGTTCATGAAACACAGGAGAGGCTTACATCAGAGTGAAAATAAATGAGTGTAGGTGTAGCTCAGTGATCACCTATTATGGTTCATATGGGCTGGATGGGTGGGAATTCAATCGAAAGGATTACTTTCGACCTATAACTACAAGTTGTACAGGTATAAAGTTTCTCTCAACCTATTCAAGTGTCGTTCAAACCTAAAAGGCACAGTCATGCCTTTTACATTATTAATTAACTGCAACAGCCAATGGTAGTTTCGACTAGGATAACTTATGAGAAAGAAGTAAAACAAGTGATTTTGAAGTTATTTGGAATGTTAACAGATAAGGACATCACATGAAGGACCACCTGGAATAGATAGTTTTACTTAAAACCAAAAAACCGGATATTTTATGTAAGCTTTCTATCCACCTGCTAAAGAAACGACAAACCACGTGTTACTAAGAGGAGACCAGTTATGTTCTTAGCCTTTTTATTTTCTAAAGCAACTAACCAAGCCAAAGCAAGGTCATAACTTGGAATTAAAAGTAGAACACTAGAAAACATTTGTTAGTGCCAATCATCTTGCAAGCAATCAACTCGTAAGGTGGCAGCCACAAGCATGACCATAACCACAGTTTAATTTTTCATTAATATAATCAAGGTTCTGAGTGGCAGACTGCATTAGTCTGGGGCCCTACACAATTGTAAACTGCATTACTCTGGGGCCCTACACGATTACAAACTGAACCAACTTGCAAGGTGGCCGCCACAACCCTGACCATAACCACAATTTAAGAATTAAGACAGTAAATTTATAACTTCAGTGAAAAGTACCAACATCATTTCTACTATCCTGAACATGTTCAAAGTAAGCTCAAATACTTCAATTCAAACCCCGATTATTTTCATAACCTGGATGCCTTTCCTCCAAAGAAAGTCGTAAATTATCCCAAACATGAAGAAAATTAAGTATGTACAGAGTACAGTACAGCACATATTTTTCAAGTAATAATCGATGTTAAAGAAAATTGCTGAAGAAATCAAGAACAAATAACACCTGCAGACGCTTCCCAATGGCAACAAATGGCTGGACATCTCCCTGTGTACCAACTATAAGCATTGCAATTTGTTGCGGTCGAATAGGTTGAACATCATCAACGAATGTTTCGTTGCAAGGTTCATAAATATTTTCTGGAGAGTGAGGTTTAATATGTCCTGGAACATCAATTTCTACAGTGCCGTCATCCTTAACCATAGAAGCTTTTTTTAGCCATCTCAGCTGCAATATTTGGAAACAATTTTAAATCATTTAAAAAAACAAGCAAATATCAAATTCCAGAGACATACAGGAATATCAAAGATATACCCATGCAAGGTATATAAAATGAATATCAGCATGCTAAACAAGTTATTATATATCACTATATTAAGGCAATAGAAAAAATAAACAGAGTGATGCATAATTCTCACTTCCCTCGTAACCAAGGTTTTAAAAAACGCTCCGTTATCGCGAAAACGCGACAAAAACGAAATCAGAAAGTGTCGATATCGATACCGTTGTTCACCGTTTCTATGATGAAAAAGAAATTGTGATCAACTCTCACCGCAATAACATCAATTAGTATCGCAACTTCTATACCAACCGAAATCACAAAAGTTTTTATGCGACCGTAATCTAAAACCATACTCCAAACATTTCTACTAAAAATGAAGTAAAAAGTAAGTTTCTAAATTAGCGATAACATGAAATTTAAAGAGGGCAAGTGATTAATCCAAACCCTTTTCTTGAAAGGAACATTCTCATCGAAGAACCTAGCCAATAATCCACTGTGCCTTCCAACTTTAGCAGCTTTCTTACTGTGTTCTGACGGTTCAGCCACAACATTTTGCGACGCACTTGATGAATCCCTGTCAGTACGCCCTGCGTAAGGCCAATTACACAAAAAAACAATACATATAATCACATAAACTTCTTGTTTCCTCTCAAAGTTCAACACAACTATTATTCCATTTTCAATTTCTAATTTCTTACTAAATCTACAAAAATTTCAACATCATCGTGATCATAATTAGTAACATATCTATCAGCATTGCATGAGTAAATGCGATCTCGAGAAATCAATGATTACCTGAAGGAGTAGCGACTGCGTCTACATAAACTGAAATGTCACTAGCGGAAGAGTCTAAACGATGGTGATCATTACTCGCCATATCGGAGAAGAACGATGAAAGAACGAAAAGCGGTTGTTGAATCTATGAATGGAGTGGTTTGGAAGAAAATAGGTTTTGATGATGATGATGATGAAAAGGAATGAAAGATTTGTTGGAAAGAGTTATGTGATGGTGATGGTGATAGGGAAGGAATAATAGCTTCTTTTTCTTTTGCTTTTCTTTTCGCTTTTCGCAGGAAAAGAATGAGAGAGGAAGAGAAAGCGTGAGAAACTATGCGAAGTCGCCACGTGGAAGAATGAGAAGACGTTTCATGAGACCGTTACATTGACCGCATTTGCACGTCTTCTTCATCTGCATTAACAACTCAAATAAACCTTTTTGAAAAATGAAATAAAAAATTGAAATTAACTGCTATTTTTGTTTTTTCAATACCCACTACGACCATAACATATAATTGTCACCGTCATGGCGTCATGGTCATGCATGGTCATCGTGTCTTTTTTTAAAATATTCACGGCGTCCTAAAATATAAACTGTTAGAGGTTAAATTAAAAGAAGGAATTAAAGGATAAATTAATCTTAAAAATATGTCAGCCAAAAAGTGGTATCCCTTTATATATATATACTAGCATATACGTGGCTGTCAGTTTATTTTCTCTAATATTAATGCATATAAAATATAAATTGTATTATATTTTTATTTAATTTTTAATTTTATGATAAATTATTCATAAAATTGTTATAAATATTAATATAAAAAATAATAAACCGTATAACTGTTTTGAAAAATAAAAATTAAAAAACATATATTTAAAAGGAAAAAAGGCTACTTGTCTCTATATATTAGTATTGAAGTATATATATATATATATATATATATATATATATATATATATATATATATATATATATATATATATATATATATATATATATATATATATATATATATATATATATATATATATATATATATATATATATATATATATATATATATATATATATATATATATATATATATATATATATATATATATATATATATATATATATATATATATATATATATATATATATATATATATATATATATATATATATATATATATATATATATATATATATATATATATATATATATATATATATATATATATATATATATATATATATATATATATATATATATATATATATATATATATATATATATATATATATATATATATATATATATATATATATATATATATATATATATATATATATAAACCACTTAATCGATTTTTAAGAAATATATTTTTCAAAAATTAAAAGAAAATATTTTTTTCATAAATAAAAACAAATGTTTTTTTTAGAAATTTCTTTTCCAAAAATATATAAAAAAAATAGGATATTTTAAGAAAATTATTTTTTTAAAAAAAAAACATTATCTAAAAAATAAAATAAAAAATCGATTTTTAAAAAAGGAAGTTTTTTTTTATTTTCAAAAAAATATTATTTTAAAAAAATCTTTTCTTTTTTGTTATTTGAGGTTTTTTAGAAACAAAAAACTATAAAAAAGATTTTTCTTTAATTTTTTTATAAAATTTAATTTTTAATAAAAATAGACAAATTTGATTTTTATTTTGGATATAGATATTCAAAAAGTATATTTGATTAAAACCATATTAATAAGATATCTAAAATATAAATTTTATTAAAATCATACTAATAATTAATAATTAATCCATTTTTAACATTAAAATTTGAATATAAATATAAGTAATTTAAATAACGGGTTAATTTGAGTATTACTAGTCTTTTTCACTACTAAATCTATTGTGTTTTTCTCCTTAAGCAAACATAATATTAAATTTTTTTTTATTTGTTTGGTAATTATTTTAAATTTGACTTTAATTTTCATACAATTAATCTTAAATCTTTTCTGAGTGCAAAGTATAAAAAAATGCGTGCAACAAATTACTTGTTGAATGTAGTACTCTCTCTATTTAGGTATGACAACATAATTAGTACCCGCGAATATCCACCCGAATCCGCTTCGAAGTTGACAGGAAATACCGCTTTGATTGAGTTTGGGTTTAGGGTTGGATTTTTTCCGATTATAAAATATGGAAACGGGTCGGGCTATGGAGACACTAGTACCCACCTCAAACATGCCCCGTTTATTTTATCATGTATATTATTATTTATTTTTGATAATTTAGAATATTAAATATATGGTCACTTTTTGATATTTTAATTTGAATTTATTATTTAGAATATTTGAAATGTATGTATGAAATTTTTTTTAGATTGTTTTGTTTTATTATTTGTAATGTAATTTGTTTTTGGAAAAAATAAATCTTTCTATTAAAAAAATTAATTTCACTAAATAAATGGTGGCAGGAAGGAGATACCTGAAACCAACCCGAACCCGTTTGAGACGAGTTTGAGTTTTAATTCTCCATCCCTGTTTGGGTTTGGGACGGAAAACATGGATTGTTTGAGGATTCGGGTTTGAGTTTGGGGAAGTAAAAATCATCCCCGACCCATTGTCATGTATACCTTCATCCCATAATGAGTACCCTGATTGACCATTTCACACCGATTAAGAAAAAGAATAATTGAAAGAAAGAGAATTATATTTTTACTAAAATACTCCATCTGTCTCAAAATAAAAGTCATTTAAGATTATTGCACACAAATTAAAAAAAGTTAGGAGTGAAGGAATAGATGTAACAATTTTACAAAATTGTCCTTAATTGTTATTAGTTACATATGCTGAGTGAGATTAAATGCATTGAGAGTAGTGCAAACAATATTAAAGTGGTAAAATTGGTACAAATAAATTAATGTTGCATTGAAAAGTACAACCAAACTTATTTTGATACAAAATTTTTAGGCTAAAAAGACATTTATTTTGAAATAAAGGGAGTACCCTTATCATATATTGGAAATGATGAAAGTAATATTAATTAGAAGATAAAATTGAAAAATATGTATTGGAAATTGAAATGGATCATTTATTTTAAGACGCTCTTTTATTTCGAATGGGCCATTCGTTGTAGGAAAGAAGGAGTATATAAGGAAATTTTACCCCATACCCTAAAAACTATCTCTCCACCCCTACAATTCATTTGATTTTACCAAAATACCCTTATATTATATCTATAAAAAAAAAGCTAAAAAGAAATATAAAAAATTTGTATTCCGAATAACTTATGTTAGGTCATCCGATGACTACAACAAATATGACTTTAACCACCACTAAAAAACTGTGGCCTACAATAAAAAAATCGTCGCCTATTTTCCGGAAGTCTTTCTACAAAGTTATCCTATGCATATTATATTTGGAAATAAAATTGCATTCATGATAACTTATAGGTAAAGTTATATGGCGATTACAACAAAAATGAGTTTAAGCAATGTTTAAAGTAAAGAAAATTCTTTTTGTTGCCTTATCTGCCTCATGAAATTAACTTTTAGCAAAGCTTGGGCGATCTTTCCACTTCGGCCATTGTTTCTAAACATTGTCTATTCACTTTTGGCAACGATTTTCAAACTGTTGTCTATTATGTAAAAAAACCCTACAGAAAAACTTATAGCAAGTTATCTGGTGAACACAATTTTGGTAAAAAAAATTATAATATCAGATGACTTTTATGTAAGTTATCTGGTAAATATATAATCTACTAGAATACTTGATTGCAAGTTATCTGGTGAAGAGAAATTACATATCAAATTTCTTTAAGTGACGTTCTCCAGTACACTAGTGTATGGGTACAAATTTTTCTGATTTCAAAAGAAAGTAAAAAAATAAATAAATAAAATGGTATAATTGGAATATTTTAAAAAATGTAAGGGTGGGAGGATAATCATTGGGGTATGAGGTAAAGTTTTCAGTATATAATCTATATCAATTATGCAGCCTTAGAAAGTAAACATCTTTTGTGCATACAACAATTGGAAAATAGGTTCACTGCAGCTGCAATTCGACTGATTCACACATTTGACATTTTTTTATTGTTAGATCAAGATCAAACAGACTAAATTTAAATATAATATTTGATTTATATTTTATAAAAAATATTTGATTTAAAATTTTAATCAATTAATCATGATTTAACGTTTGAAAAAATAACGAATGCATGTGGCAAATTTGCAACAATTGAATGAAAGTTTTATGAATGACACAAAATTGGTTACATCTCCCAAAAATGTTACCATCATCTATTAGTATTAGTAGTAGTTAATACTACTACAACTATTTATGTGTACAAACATAATTGTGGTTAGAAGATTTATGATGACTTAGATTTACTAAAAAAATAAGTGGTTGTGTTGTAATGTAATTCAAATTCAAGTCATTTGAGTTTGCATTATAATTTGTATTTCATTTGGTTTGCGTTTGAATTTAATTTACATTTGAATTTGGGTGAATGTATTTAAACGTAATGTCATAAGCATTTATAACAAAATTGTGAATGTTAGTTTACATTCTCTCTCTCTCTCTCTCTCTCTCATCAATTATCTGCAATTCTTTCATCTTTTTCATCTTTTTAAATTTTTGTACATTAATAGAGGTTCATTGTTGAGATCTAATAATTGGTATCTAGAGCTTCAATTCGATTATAGGGAAACACAAGTGTAGTTGGGTGTGTGATTGATTTCGTTCCTGAAATTCGCGTTAAATTGAGGTTCAAAATTGAAGAGAATCACGAATCTTGAGTCTCAGGGTTTGGGAAACACGAGTGTTGGTGAGAACTGAGTGATTTGCACAATGAAAATGAACAATGAAAACAGTAACTTGAACACAAATCTTTCAGTATTTGACAAAAAGAATTAGAATCAGTGGTTGATTCATATGCGTGTGTTGTTTAGGCTCAAAGTATTATTGATCTCGTTAATAACAATTACAAGCCGGTTGCAGAAAATGCATCAGAAGCAGAAAGAATTTCATTATGTGAAACGAGGAAGAATGATCAAAAGACATTGTTCTATATCCATTAGTATGTGGATATGAACGTGTTTGAGAAAATTGTTAATTTGACAAC